CAAGAAGAACAAAGTATGAGAAATTCGTGAGAAAGAGCGTCTGCGGCGCCGTTCTGCCGCTTCCGCGGAGTTCTATTCTCATCCAAGTCCGGCGTTTCTTCTTCTTGATATCTTCTCAACTTCCGTTTCAGCTCTTCCGGAGTACCCAATTGCTTGTCGTCGCTCTCGTCTCCGCTGCCTGGTCTGTGGTCTGTGCCAGGATCGTCAGGCTCGGCTGACTGGAGAGGGTGTGCTCGGCTAACCGCGACCGAAAGGGGCTGGCCATGAGTTACGTTAGGCACTTAGGGGAGGGGGTATGCTCGGCAAGGGGGGCTGACTCTCCCGAACCGTGTACGAAGTATTATATATTATAGGTATTATAGAGTATAATAGGTATACATTCCGAACATTATATTTAGATAATTGTGTCGTTTTAAGTGGTTTTCCGTGTATCAAAGGTTTCCAAAATACGCAAATTGGTTGAAAACAAGGATTCCGTCTCGCGCTCCTGAGCCTCCAAATACTACCGCGCATCTTTAAGAGCCTCAGCACCTAGACATCAGTCTTAGCGCCACTTTCTTACTCTAACATACCGTCTAGAAACCGCTAAACGCTAATTCACCATAATCTTACAGCTCATTTTAAAACCGAAACTGCACTAAACGTGCGGCATTTTTTGGTATAATGGATTCTAGTATTATAGGTATTATACAAGTATTATAGGGCTGTGTACGAAGTATTAAAGGAGTCAGCCCCCCTTGATGCTCGGCGTAAAACGCTGCATATCGTCGGAGCTAGCGTAACGTTACGCTTAACATGTACTAAGAAAGCACATTTCGTGTAAACAGTAAAGAGGGTAAACATAGTGTTCAGCAACGTAACTGAGTTTTAACTAAATTTAATAATACTTATGCACTCTCGGCCGTTTACTGACTATTTCTCATTAGCAGACGTATTTCTGTAAGCAACCATAATATTTGGTATTTAGTTCTTAAATACTTAAAAATTTCTTCGTAATTAATTTACGAAGAAAACGGTTATATCAGTACAGTAATTAGCAATTGCTAAGTAATACTGACAAAAAATACTAAGTATTATGGTTGCTAACAGAAATGCGTCTGCTAAAGAGAAATAGTCAGTAAAAGGCTGAGAGTGTAAAAATGCATCACGAAAAGAAATGAATAGTTAAGTACTCGATGCATTTTGAAATAGTTTTGTACGAAGGGGTTGGGACATAATTAGACAGTAAGTGGACTGCCCCAACCGGGTCTGTCCCCATTGTGTACCGAACGACACATCCGACATGGCCACTCATCCGACAGCGAGGCGACCCGAGTCACTGACGCGCAAAGAGTCAAGGAACAGACCCCTGTTTCAAAATCTCATCTAGGGGTAGGTTGGGTAAGAAAAGTACATTCGAGGCTCGGGTAAGAAAAGTACACCCGTTTTATCTCCGAACTGAAACTACACAAAACCATCACGTTAGTGGTTTTAGAAAGATTGGTCATCCCGCTGACAAAAAATAAATTTAGCCCAGTTCTACATATAATATTTAGAATCAAACTGCACGTTTGAAAAAAAACATTAAAAATAACTATGAAAATCTTTTTTTTAAATGTTTGCACTTTGAAGTACAGCTTCCTGCGGAATCAGCCGACAGTCCAATGTAAGGTACCACCTTATAGCTTAGACCATCATCTTTGAAAAACAGTGCCGTTCGATGCTCTTAGGCTTCAACACAATTTTTTATAAGTGTAAAAATGAAATGGGGAAGAAAAGTACAGTCGGCTGGGGAAGAAAAGTACAGGTATTGGGGAAGAAAAAAACACCCTCTAAGAAACTAAAAGCGGGATGAAAATTGAATTGATCACGGGAATAGATTTGATTAGGCGAGACAAGCAAAAATGTCAACACAAGTTATAGAATTAGACTAGAAATAAACAAGTTATTGGGCATTTACGTGAAAAGGGGAAGAAAAGCACAAAAATGCTGTACCCACTTACCTCTGAGAAAAGGCTTTTTGGACCTTCTGTGATGAGTCCATGTAGAATCAAAACCAATTGACCGATTTTGACGAAACTTGAACTAATGGCAAGTGAAAGCTCTCCCGCTTTAGGGGCAAACCTGTATTGAGCCAAGATTGGTGGTCTCCTGGTTCGAAATCGCAATTCTTTTCGTTGTACTTTTCTTTCCCGGTGGTGTACTTTTCTTACCCTTTTCGAGGAGTTCCAAAATCACATTCATCTTGGCATGTTGTACGTAATGTAGGGAACTATAATCAATGAACAGTGATACATTTCATTAGGAAGGCATTGGATTACAAGTTCACGAGAGCAGATTAGTTGAATCCTCATTTGAAACTTCTGTAAAGTGCAAAGTACGCGTTTTGTACTTTTCTTCCCCAACCTACCCCTACCTCAATTATCTTCGGAGCTATAGGTAATCGAGTGCTGATGCTGGTTTTACCTTGATTTTAGTGTTTGTAAACTTCGTGGCCACCTGGCCCTGGCGGTAGAAGATCGATCGGGGTCACCTCCTTGTGTCAACGTGTCTACTACTCCTGGGCTATCCCACCGCGTGATTGGACGATCCCGCGGTAACCGAAAGGCGGCTAATTTGAAAGTGTCCCATTGTGCCCCACCTTCCCTTACACACTTCAGTTTGTAGAGCACGCTCGCGGGGGTGTGCTCGTGAGCACGCGCTGAAGGACGTGTACTCGTCAGTACACGCTGAAGAGAGTGTACACTATCAGCCGTTTACTGACTATTTCTCAGTAGCAGACGTATTTCTGTAAGCAACCATAATACTTAGTATTTAGTCCTTAAATACTTAAAAATTTCTTTGTAATTTACTAAGAAAACGGTAATATCAGTACAGTAATTAGCAATTGCTAAGTAATACTGACAAAAAATACTAAGTATTATGGTTGCTTACAGAAATGCGTAAGCTGATGAGAAAAAGTCAGTAAAAGGCTGAGAGTGTACTGAGTATGCAGTGTGAAGTTGGTGACCGGGACTTGTGGCAAGTGTGTGCCTGAGGCATGCACCAGGAAGTGTGTGCCAGGCACACACTTGAGTTTGCAGAGCGGCCGCCATCTTGGCTCTGCACGCGAAATCTAAATGCCGAAAATGCCTCTGCGGACAGAAGTGTTCGGTTGGTTCCCCAGAACACCCCAAAGCAAAGTTGCAGCACATGTTCATGAGGTACAGATTGGATCGGCCAGGCCACCCATCTAAAAGTCAAACTTTTTGAAAACCAATCTGTTTTCGGCTTTCCTGTTAGTTAGGATCTCGGAGAGGTCCTTCACAAAGTGAATAAGCTTGGGAACAAGTTTTAGTAAAACGTGGATTGAATTCAGGAAGTTTAATCTATCACCGTGAAGCTTACTTCTTATCACGGGAGTTACAAGATTTTTTTCAGGGCCGAGTCGAGAGCGCCCGTCTGGGTAGGCAGCCACTCGCACGCGAGTGTCTAAGATTTTGCCAACCCGCCAGGCGTTGTTGCGCTGGTTGAGGTGTTGAAACCGTTTGCTTTCTCCCAAACTCTCTCGCCGATAGCAAACAAAAGTTACAGTGAGTCTCTACTAGCAGGAGTCTCTCAGTTTTAAAAAATCGTAATTTTCGTAATTGTTAAGGTGGCACATTTTACAGGGGGGCCCACGAATGGCTTTATTTGTACCTTTCGGCCGGTTATCTAAGTAAATTGCAGTGAATTTTAAATTTTTGGTTGATTTTGCTGGAGGGACACAGTTAAAAAAAGTGTTGTAAATTAACAAGGTAGGTGTACGCCAGACCGTGTCTTGACGTAACAGGCTTCGCGATGCTGCGCCAGTTTCGACCATCCACGCCTGGCGTATACACCTACCTTGGCCTGCGGCGCTAACCTTGCCCTCGGCAGGCTGCTTTCCTAGGCAGACCGTGGAAATGGGCGTGATCCCCTCAAAAATAGCATTTGGTCATCAAAATCTACACCAATCGGATTCAACTTTCGGTCGGGGGTCCGAACGGGTTCTCTTTTCGTCATCAGCAGCGTTAAAAACATATGAAACGATATGAAACTTTACACAAAGTTGAAAGTACCTAAAAAGTTGCCTTTTTTCTGCCGTTTTTAAGTGTTTTTTGGCTAATATGACCGAATAGATTGAGATAGAAAGCTGAATTTTGGTGTGTGGCGAGCCAAGGACATATCTAATGACCCTGCAAAATCTCAGCCAGATCGGCCGAGCCGTTCAGGAGGAGTAGCAGACAGACAAACAGACAGACAGACAAAACTTTTCGACCCCACTGGAGTAACTGGCTTCGCTATCGCTCAGCCAACAACACTTATGATGTTAAGTTAGATAGCAACACGTCTTGTTTTATTACAAGCATGTTGAAGCCCTCAATTTGAGGGCTACGTGCTCGGTGCTGTTTTCTGATAATTCGATTGTAATGAAACAATACTTCTTTGGAGCCTTTGATGATATCTTTTCGCACTCATCGTGCTGTTATTAAACAAGACCCTTGTAACCTGACAACACTACATGTTTTAAGATTGCTCTACGTCTGTTTCTAAACATGATACACCTGTTTCACGACAAGACAACTGTGTTTAATCACGATTACATTATTGTTACTTGACAACGAAGTTGTTATACAGCAAAAGTGTTGTTTCTGGATGGGTTTCCCGTTCAGACACAAAACAATACTGTTGTCATTCAACAGCATTACTGTAGGTGCGATTGTGTTGTAATAAAACAGTGGATTTTTAACAGTATATTTCCTCTTGACTCTGAGCGTGCATCTGGCTACACTGCAGGAAATAACCACAACAAAAGTACACAAATTTCTGGCAAATTTTTTTTATCAGGAATTTAGTGTACTTTTCAAGTACAACAAATTGCCGTACAAAGTACAATGGAACCGGCATGAAGAGTGATGTGCAGTCCAGGGCTCGTTGTGGTTTGTACAATTCTCGTTGTACTTTCTACAATCCCTGTTGTACTTTTATTGTACAGTTTCTGTTGTACTTTTGTTGTGCTACACTCTCAGACTCGTATTGACTTCTTTCTCTCCATTATTGACATTTTGTCCTTTGCTTACGTAGTTTTTTAAGCAGCAATAATAAGTAGTATTTCCTTTGTAACCATGTACAATATTGTTCACTATAAAGACTAAATTGTCACCAATTAATGACAATTTTTTAAGTCAATTGCGTATTGACTCTTTGTCAATAGCAAATTGACTTTAAGTCAATATAACGAACGAAATCTTACATAGATATTGACGAAATAGTACTTTTTATTGCTGTGTAAAATACTCTTTAACAAAGGACAAAAAGTCAATAACAGTCTGAGAGTGTATCTACACTTTTTCTTGCAGTGTACGGCGCCTACGGCCAGTCGGCCTTGATGAGGTCCGCGGCGCGCTCGGCCAGCATGATGACGGGCATGTTGGTGTTGCCGCTGGTGAGGCCCGGCATGGCCGACGCGTCCGCCACGCGCAGCCCGTCCACGCCGCGCACGCGCAGCGCCGAGTCCAGCACGCGCCCCATGCCGCAGGTGGCCGCCCAGTGCCACATGGTGCTGGTGCTGCGCCGCGCCAGGCACAGCAGGTACGCGTCCGACCCGAAGGCCTCGTCCCTGCCGAGAACACCACGTGATCACATGTATAGAGGTGTACTCGACAAGCAAGCGTCTATAGAAGACAAGATACTCGACAAGCAAGCGTCTATAGAAGACAAGATGGAGGTGTACTAAAGCAAGTACACTCTACAAATCGAAGAGCGTACATTGTATGCTCTAACTGGCTGGAGCATGCCTGCAACACTGTGAGAAAAAAAGTACGGAAAAAGTACGGAACATGTCTGGTCAATAATTTGCCTGGACCGTCCGTACTTGCCAACTACGGAACGTTCCGTACTTTTTTCCGTACCCATTTACATGGGTTTATATGGAGCAAGTACGGAACGTTCCGTACTTTTCTCCGCACCTCCGTACTGTATTTTTCTGTACCATTTCCGTACAAAAGTACGGAATTTTTTACAGTGAAGCACGCTCTAGCTAGCGTATGCCTGGCAAGCATGCAGTGCATACATGCCATGTACACGCCAACTGAAGCATGCATAGTGCCTAAGGGATAGGGAGTTGCCTGCATCAGGAAGCGTGTACATGGCATGTATGCACTAGTTAGTGCATGCTTGGCAGGCATGGGCTAGCTAGAGCGTGCTTGCAGGCATGCTCCAGTTAGAGCAAACAATGAACGCTCTTCGATTTGTAGAGCACTCTATAAATCAGCAAAGCATAATCTGGACTTAATATGCTGGATCATATAGATATGCTTGTCTATAGCTCAAGTCACACTCTAAAACACTCACATGCTCGTCTATCACACTTCTATGGATATACTTGTCTACGGCACTGATGTATGGGACTTGGCAAGTACACTCCAATAGATGAGTGATTGGCATGTACACTTCAATCGGCGTGCACTTGGCAAGTACTCTTCCTCCAAAAGTTGCGCACTTGGCAAGTAAAATTCCATTGATGAGTACTTGGCAAGTACACTCAAATAGATGTGTGCTTGGCAAATACACTCCAAGAGATGAGTACTTGGCTAGTGCGCACCCATAGCTGTGTACTTGTTCGTACACTCCCATAGATTTATACAGAGGACTCTACAGTGTCACAGCAGTCATTAAACCTCAAAGTCCACTGTGGCAAAAAGGTACGGAAAATTCTGTTAATTTTTTTTTTGCCAGGATTCTCCGTAGCCCTCTTATCGATATTCTCCGGTAGGGCCGTACATTCTTCCCCGTAGGACCTGGAAGACTATATAGTCCTACGGAGAACACTGTAAGGTCATACGGAGAAGACTGTACGATCCAACGGAGAATACTGTAAGGTTCTACGGAATTACAATTCACCATAAGCTGTTTACAGAATTTTCCGTAGCCTTGTGCCCCAGTGTCGTGGATCCTCACCCGCATCCCTGCGCGGCGGGGGGCGCCTCCTCCAGCGTGACGCCGTGCCGCTCGAGGCGCCTGGCCAGGCCGAGGCCGAGGCGCAGGCCGGCCAGCATGACGGCCTCGTCGCGGCCCTCGGCGTCCGACAGGTAGCCCAGGCTGACGACGGGCGGGCCCCCCGGCGACGAGGCGTTGAGGCGCACCGAGCCGCGGCTGCGGGGGTGCAGCACCACGGGGGCGATGGCCACGCGGTTCAGGCGCCACGAGTCGCCTGCCGCGCACCTGCGGCAACAACACACTCATCCACAACTCACTATGTAAGGCGGCGTGCCAATTGATCCAAGCGGAAGAAGGGGATAACTCAATTTTGGCCATTTTCCAGGAGAAACCAAAAACTGTTAGGAGGGAAAACTAAACCAAAACAAATGAATGTTGCACATGTTAATAATTTCAAAAAGCATTAGTAAAATTTTGAAAAAAATAAAATAAAAAGTGTAAGGTCACTCCGTAGAGGATTTCTGCGACTTATCGCTTTCCATTGAAATGGAAAACAGAGTCAGCTCACCTTATATTTCCTAAACAAAGAGGAATTTGGAGACAAGTCAAGTGGGACAATAGTCTGCATAAAGTGTATGTTACTCTGGTGTATTTTTTGGACTTAGCAAAATTAAGGGGGGGCTAAGTTGAGTTGATTCTTTTTACACAAGATTCATAAAAATACAAGTTGAGTTATATCCTTTTGCCAATTTGTCAAACGGACTCATGTGGACTTCCGTAGAGTTAATCTCCATTTTCCAATGAAATTTAGACCGTAAAAGTGGTTAAGTTGAGTTATACCCTTTTTCCATGAGGATTTTCTCCTAAACTGCTTGGAATTCAGTCAAATAATTTGGTGTAATGATGGAAACCATTCTAAGGCACAATATTAAAATACAAACTCAATTTGGGGATAAGTCAAGTTATTCCCTTCTTCCGCTTCCTGGATCAATTTTACGTCACCAGGGGGGGGGGGGGGGGGGTAAAAGTGGTGACGTAATATTGTGAGATAATAACTTGTCACCATATGCGCCCAAAAACTCTGAACTGTGAAGTTGGAGCTGCAGCCGAGAGATAGGCATTTTGAAGTGCACTGATTTAGAATGGAATTTCCCCGTAAGTGAAGTAAAGGAACGACTAGTCAGACTTGCGCGTTACAGTCCCCGTCGCATTTCGAGAAACAGCGACTGCCCCCAACCCGGCCTCTGACACATGGCGTGTTCGTATTTTCCCGTGAACGCACAGATAAGACCTTAGAGTACGCACCGGTGAGTCTTTAAAGAACAACTAAAAACAATACACCCTCACTCAAAATTAAATAGTGATACATCTCACCCTCTGAAAGGTGAGACATAACTGTCTCACCGAAAAATCATCGTACACGCATGTTTCACCGAAAAAAAGGTCGTATACAAATGTATCACCGGAAAAAAGGTCGTACACAAATGTATCACCGAAAAAAGGGTGATACTTCCCCAGGAAAACGAGGGCCAATCTCGCTGATGTCTCACCTTTTTTTCGGCACACATTCGTGTACGACCCTTTTTCCGGTGATGCATTTTGTATCGCCGAAAATTGGTGAGATGTCTCACCCTTTGAATTACAGTGCTAATGGCTTATGGAATTTTCGTTAGCAAGGATTGACGTATTTCTTCAGCTGTAAATTATGTACAATTTTTTACGTTAGCACAGTGGATTGTCCATACTCTCACAAAAGCACAAATATCGCAAAAATTTTTGGAGCATGAAAGTACAAAAACACGTTGTGTGTGCACACATCCTTACTGCTCTGTCTCGTTGACCTGCACGAATCCTTGGAACAGTAGCTGCAGGTCGGGCTGCTCGCTCTCCGACCCGTTCAACACGTGGAACGACGTAAGCTGCAGAAATCCCTGGGACAGCGGGCCGCTGTGGTTTCGAGAGTAGTTTTTGATGTCCTGCTGGTGCTTCTCCCAACTCACCTGGCAACACAACACTGAGTGAAAGGGTCTTTCTTCTTCTTCGCCAACTCAACAGCACCCTTGAAACCTCGCCTGTAACTCATTTCAGCGATCTGGATTGGTGGAACCCCTACGAACTTTTAGGGAGCTTTGACAGAGCTCGAAAGTTATTTTGGGAAGCAGTTTTGAGGCCAGACGTCATCTTTATGTCTTCATTACCTTTTATTTAACGCATTTAGGATATTCGACAATTTAATCAGTGTTGTTTTTTTAATCAGAAGTCCAAAAACGCTCTATTTATTGGTCTGAGCATCTAAATTTGCATTTTTTGACTTCTGTAAAAGGTTGGACAACTCTCACAAAAATGATTGCATTTAAATGGCTTGGAGGACGGCAAAATCTTCGGCAAGATTTTTGAAATGGGATTATGTACTTTTATTATATAATGTGAATGTAAATTGAGACTAATCGTCCAGGACAAGTTTTTAGATGCCTTTCAGTTGTTTTACATCTGTAATGACTACTACAGCTTTTTCCACCCCGCGGGAAGCTCCTGGCCCAGTGGCGCCCACAGAAATTTCATTTAGGAGGAGCGACTGACATCCAGCCCCTTTCACACTAAATGTCATGGGACTTTTTTGGTCCCGATGCAATTTTAAGCACATCCGGTGGTGATGCAATTTTGTGTCCGCCAGGCGGGACAAATTGTCTAGTGAGAGTACAATTTGCAGCAGGTGTTGGACAAAATGTGTCGCCAGGCGGGAACAAAATTGTATCAGCGTCGGATGTGCTTAAAATTGCATAAATCGTGGGACAAAAAAGGTCCTATGGCATTTAGTGTGCACGTGTTGGCGCCACTGTCCTGGCCGTTGGAGTGTTCCATCGCTTTGACTTCATGCACTCTACATCCACGTTATTTCACGGAAAATGTGCACCAAAATTCAAGTTGTTTGCCCCTTGCGTCCACACTATCAAGCGCACGCGTCCAGCTTTTCTCAGAAATCCGCCCTACGGAAGATTGGAACGCACATGCGACGTAGGTGGAGTGGAGTGCTTGTTGCCAGCTTATCGCCCGGAAGGGGGCATCCAAATAACAGTGCTGTGGCGTATAAATTGGCCGAGGATTCAAAACCGAGGCAGTTGCTCGTACACCTTCGTACCAACCAGCCACGATGTTCAGCAAGACAGTCCTCGTCGCCTTCGTGGCCCTGTGCTGTGCCCAGGCAAGCGTTGCGAGAGCATTCACCACAAACCTGTCTACTAAACGTATACTCTGACCAGAAAACGAAGAGCCCTGGGTTCTCGCGATCGAGGACTACCTGCAATGCTAGCCAAGGCGGCAGATGGCATAAACCGCGAGAACTCACGGCTCTTCGTTTTCTGGTCAGAGTATACAAATGCATGCTTAGAAGGTACACACTTACAAATGCCCATAGCATGGAGTTATAGGGCGCCATGCGTAAGTTTGTACTTGCAAGCATTTGTAAGTGTGTTTGCAAGCATGAATTTGTAGGTGTGTTCACTGAGAAAATTCGAGTTGTCACTTGGTGACAATTTCAAGGCTCATTTTCTTGCAACGATGTTATCGAAACAATGGATGACATTGTTGTCACGCATATGCAAAAAGGGAGCTTTGATGAGAATGTCATGGTTTGGAAGTGATGAAAATATCATCCATGTTTTATGTCATAAAGTGACAACAAAGTCTCACAGTGTACTATGCAGACAGTTAGGTTTCTAGTGTACTCCATCAGCCAGTGACAGAACGACATTTGTCGACCATGAAGGCATTTCAGAATATTTTAGAGGAAATGTGGTTCGTTCCACAGGCCTTCGTGTCTGCGGCTCCCCATGATGAGAAGGACATCATCTCCTTCAGCAACTACCAAGGCAGAAGCATCATAAAGTGCTTGAGCCAGGCAAGTACAAAAGGTCTTCGACTGAGAACGAAGGAGTCTTGATCAGAACTTTCGTTATTTTCGGAATTTTCTGAATGTGGGTGATGTTTATTTTGTCTTCCAAATTTAGAAAGGTTTCCTAACCCAAATTTGGTCGCTAAAGGGTCTATCTGCCACCTAAATAGCTGCAATTTTGTACGTGTAACTTGCACGATTTTGTGCATAGGTGTAATTTGCATTGCGTAAAAATGAAACTTTGAGCAAAGTTAAGCAAAACGTCACACAGGTTCAAAATAATGCAGCACCGCGTACAAAATTTGAGCGCGTAACATCATCTAGATCTGGGTAAGGAAACTTCATGAAACAAAGTCGGGCAGTAAATTGATTCTCACCCAAATTTGGGTGATATTTAATACCTCAGCTCGTCCAGCTTTATGAGTCTTAAATTCTCAGTGTGGGCCTCTGGCCTCGACAACAGTCTCCCACATAGTTTGACTCCGCGTTTCTCGCCACAGAGTTACATCTTCGCCAAGGACAGCATGCCCATCGTCGCCGGATTCGGCAAGATTCTCGTCAACGCGTACACCGGGGCGAATGCCTGCGCCTCCATGGACGACAATGCCGAGCCCCCCGCGGGTGCCATCAAGGCTTGCTACAAGAACGTCTTCGACGAGGCGGTGAACAGCCTCCACGCCTTGCGCGAGGAGTTCCGTAAAGTCATTTACGCTGACGCCCCCGTGATCCACATCATCGCTACGGATTGCTTCGGCCTGGAATCACACTAAAAGCCTCAATTTGAAGTTCGAACTATGGTACAGGGAATCCGGCGCAAGCATGATACGAAACAAAATTGCTCCGATTGATTAGAATCTTTTATGGGGGCATTTTTATCGCGAGATGCAAAGAAGCAGAGAAAATCCGTCGTCACACGACGAAGAAAATCTACGTTCGTATTATGCTTGCGCCGTTTTCTTCGTACTATAATGAATTTCCGCGAAAGGCATTTGAAGTGGGGGTCTACACGGTAAAAACGGTACCTGGTTTTCCCAGGGAAGCCTATGGTAGAGAGACATAGGCAATTTCCAGGGAGATCCTGCGAAAACCAGGAACCGTTTTTACCGTGTACTGTGAGATTATTCAATAAATAATAACACAACATAACCGTTTAAGGCCATTTGAGATAAAACCATTGTATTCCCTCTGGGTACATTGAATGCGCACTTGTAGAAACGCAGGACGCCAGAGGCACCAACAAAACGGGAGTGAAGCAAGTCTCGTTTTAGTTCTGACTTTGGAAATGTTCCCGATGTGGCCACATACACGCAAGCGGCCAAAAAGGCGCTCTTAGAATTCATGGATAATGACTTTGCTTTTGACTGAATGAGACATTTTCCTAGCTGAGGTAAAGGGACCTACTGCCCGGCTTTGCAGAGTGTACCTTTCAAACCTCAAAATTTGACCTCAGGGAGGCAAATTGCACGCACAAAATTCTACCTAAGCATTTAGTGTGCTCAACGTACCTGTGGTCATGACATTTTGAAACAAGATTTATTATTATTAAACTATACAACAAAACGACTTTTTGAAAAGTCCAGCGTGGAGTGTGCCTTGCACACACTTGAGTTTAGAGAGTGAGCGTGCCATATGGCGAACTTGTCCATCACTACTTGAACCTTGCTCTGCAGTGATAGAAAAACACTGAGTATGTGGAATGGCTGTTTGCTGAGAAGTAGGGCGAGCAAGAACCTTTGGATTCAATCGCGCATTTTGCTTAGCCGCACACAATAAAGTACTACGTGGTTTTTTGTACCGTCAAGTCCCCTAAATGTGAACACGAACCCTAAAGTGGGACATTTTGACTATTTTCCCTATTTTAGGCCGTAAACGGCCAACGCGTGGATATTTTGCGAGGTAAAAAATGTTTTTGAGACGATAGGACCCCTCCAAGACCATACCCGCACAGAGTGTCTTGTTCCCGCTCATACCCCCTCCCCGGAAAAATGGCATACAGGACATGAGCCCCGTCCCGTTTGAGCCCCGATGGTCTGAGCCCCGACCTGAGCCCCAACCTGAGCCCGGGTTGAGCCCCGACTTGAGCCCCGACCCAAGCCCCAATTTCCAGAGCCCGGATTGAGCCCCGACCTGAGCCCCGTTTGAGCCCCATTTGAGCCCCACTTGAGCCTTATAGCAATAAATTATGCAAAAATGCGTGATTTCAGGTCGCGGGGCTCAAATGGGGCTCAAGTGGGGCTCAAATGGGGCTCAAACGGGGCTCAGGTCGGGGCTCAATCCGGGCTCTGGAAATTGGGGCTTGGGTCGAGGCTCAAGTCGGGGCTCAACCCGGGCTCAGGTTGGGGCTCAGGTCGGGGCTCAGACCATCGGGGCTCAAACGGGACGGGGCTCATGTCCTGTATGCCGGAAAAATCTTGAAAACTGGAATTTGATGCAGAAAAAAAGAGAAGTTTTTTTCAGACGTCTAGCGCGGATTCGGGGCTTCGAGCCGTTGATGCTCGGACCATTATAGACTTCAGACATGTTGTAGCGCGTTCTTTTATCTACAAGATGCACTTTAGAAAATTTGTTTCCGACGCTTCTTTTTACGGTGGGAAGAAATCTTCTGAGGGGCTGTAAAGGGGGCCCACATGCATTTCCTTCGTTTTTTTTAGGTTTTGACCGATTCAGAGGCTTACATTCACCCCCAGCGTCCTACAAACGCTGCCTTGTATATATTGGGTTTGGGGCCAGGTCGGTTTGGAGGCCCAGGCAGTCGGGCAAGTACGGTTATTCGGTACGCTTTAAGTCAGCAAAAAATTTAGTCAATGTTTGAAAGCAAATGCTTCCTTTTGGTTTAAACCTACAAAGATATCGTTATCGCCATACGACAAAAACTTGCGTAAAATCATATTTTGAACAAAAATTCTTTAGAAAAAAAATTCCGGGGGAACGGTTTTTAAATTTTTAAAAATTTCAACATGTATTTCTTGCCGTGCATTTCGAAACTTATAAAAAATGACCTGAGCAAAAAAATTTTATAAAATGGTTTTGGTCAGAAATTAAAATTTTAAAACCATTTTGTTTTATTGGTTTTTGGCCCTATTTCAATTTGGGTTTTGGCGCTACCGGGGTGTTTCTAATTTAAAATATCTAAGGAAAACTAATTGATTGAAGAGGCTCATATCAGCTTAACCCCGTCGAGATATCGAAAAGACTTCAGAACCAAACTTGCTTCAAAATTTAAAAATAGGATAATACATTTTAAGAAATTTTTTGCTACTGCAGTTTTTGGGCGAAAACGAATGAACGTGTCCCACTTTAGGGGACTTTGTCCCACTTTAGGAGACTTTGGCTCCTAAATTGGGACACGGTTCTTGCTGCTCCTACTGGAGCCCCATGGGCTGAAAAAAATTTGTTTTCGGTAAAAGACGTGTTTTGACATGAAGATTCTTAAATCCCCGGCGATTTTCGGTGTCATCGTTATTCTGTGAATAACAGACGATTTTCCGTAAAAATCGTCCCACTTTAGGGGACTCGACGGTATTGCGCATACATTTTCAAATGCACGGATTCGTGTGTGTAGCCAGCTAACATTTTCATGACTTATCTGACTTTCCGACCTTGCCCTGAGGATATTTCGGCGCCAGAAAAATCCAAAATCGTCCTAGACCCTCCCGCCCGTATATGTCCAAAATAAATTTTAAATCACCTCCGCCAAAACAAATGGGGACAAGGAAACTCGTGTGCCACTACACGACTTGCAGACCCGATATGGCATACGATCATGTGAGGTCTAGCCTTTAATGGCAATGCGCGCGGCGACGACCCATCTGCCGCAGATGCTCGATGGGTTGCCTAAGGCACGGACCGCAGGCGCTCCTGAGTCGTGAGTGTTGGCTGACGGGCAGTTCGGACGCTCTCCGACTTTCGAGATATTTAGTGGATGGTTATCCTTCTACTGCACTGTTAAAAATAATCGTAAATTTACGACATTTTGTAGAGCAATTATGTTGTTTTTGCCATTTTTTATTACGACCCAAGTCGTAAATATACGACTTGAGTCGTAAATATACGACATATTTGTCGCCAAATTTGTTAGCGAGACGTTTCGTAAATTTACGAACGATCGTAATTTATTCATGGAGTATGTCGTGCAGTTATGACTTCA